CCTGTCAAAGAGCTTGAAAAATAAGGACGCAAAGCAAAACAATTACAAAACTAGGGGTAAAAGAGAGAGCTCAGGGAAGTGAAACCATAATCCACAGATCCTGATATTTAAACTCATTTAATGTTAAGTTTTAGCTGCTTGTTAGAAGCCCCTAACTCCCCTCCCAGGTGGGGGCTGACGAGTATCCTGACACCTACTGCTGCTCTACCAAACAATCAACCTGGTTTTATTTAATTGATTAATTGATTATTTATATTCAGGTAATCGCTGCAATCTGACTGCTCTGCATAAATTAATAATTAATTTGAACAGAAGAAAAGTAAATTGTGGTTTGATGATGGCATGAGTTCATTAAAATCAATTAATAATGTTTCCATCTTTTTGTTCTTATGAGGAAACTTCTGAAAACATGATGACTCACATGTGCAGTATTAATAAATGCATATTAGGGCTGCAACGACATAGAAAATTCATGATTTGGTTAAAACTTTACAAAAAATACAAAAAAGAGAAATGTCCATGCTCTTCTTAACTTGTAATTTAATTAATTTTGGACATTTGTTTAAGCTCAAAAGTCCAGTTTTGCAATGAATTTTTGCTGAAACAGCAAGTTTCTCAGTGGATCTTGAGCTCCACAATGTAGCCTATGTGGAGTAGTCGAACACAGATCCACTGATCCTTCAACACAGAGCATCTTCAGAAGACAAGTTGATAAAGTACATTTTTAAAATTTGTATTGTTCGATACGGTTCGATACGGTTCGATAAGAGTACATGTATTGTTGCAACCCTAGTATGAACCCAGCGTAGACATTTATTTAAAGGGCCAATATTATGTGTTTCTCAGGCATACATTTAAATACTATACCATAATAAAGTATCTATGTCACATTTACCTGTTATTAGAATGCTGTTTTAATGTTTAAATAGAAAATAAACTTATCTTCTCATCACTTCCTCTTCTAAACGCCTTGAAATTGGCCTCTGTCTCTTTAAGAACCACCTTCCTCTTCTGTCTCACCCACTTCATTGGGGGGGTGGCTGCTATGATGCAGTTTACTTGGCATCTGAAAATACATTTCCTCAAAGGTATTTTTAATCTGAGAAGAGCTTCACTGAGTGAGAACTAGTGGAGCTCAGCAGACAGTTTCATTTTCACTTTCAGTTTCACCCGAGAGCCTGCAGGAGTCATGGGCGGAGGGTGTGGGGTGGCACTCTGCCAGTAGGAAGCTCGGCTCAAAGACACATCCCAGGGCGTTTCTGGTACCAAAAGGCATTTCTGGTCCCCACCTGTCGTTTTGCTCCTCAGCATGGCTTCCTAAAAACGCTGCAGGATTTCTCAAACGTGTATGAATGAGCCAAAGCAAGGCTTTGGACATGCTTTTTATGAGAGTATAACATGATATAAAACTCAAAAAAGTTTATTTTTACATGGTATTGCCCCTTTAAACATTTACCCCTCAGCTACAACTTTCATCACCATGGTCTTTCTTGAAATATGTAACAGGCCCATGTCTAAGAATAACTGGTGGAAAATAATTTGTGTGTGCGTTCATGTGTGCAGCCTCCAGGAAAGCGTGTTGCAACGTTGTCAGTCCAAGCCAAGCTGGATGTTTACCTATGGTTTGGATCTTGTTCKGACTCTGGCCACATGTTAGATGACCTGCCTGCAGGATTCAAACCGGATACAGGAAGCTTTGATGCCAGCAGTCCCCCTTTGCACCTGGTCTGCCATGGTGAGGGAAACCCTCTTTTAACCATCCTTTTTAACACTATGTACAGGTTTTCATGCTTCTTTTAATGTCCATCAACAGCAATGGGACAAAGTGTTAAATCAACACTTAAAAAGTTAAATTTAACACTGTGTCCAAGTCTATTTGGTCCTCATCGGAATTGGTGTCAATTTAACTCTTTCCACAGTGTTAAATTTTCAGAGTACAATTTAAGTCTAAACAGAGTTCAAAATTAACACTGATGAACACTGTACAGTGTTAATAAAACTTAACACTTCAAGTCAAATAACTGATGAGAATAATTATGATTCTTAGCAGAGTTAATAAGGTACTCCCCTGTGGTGACAATTCATCTCTGATTCTCATGCTTTTCAATGCATTGAGTTATTCGTGGTTAACACTGGAGATTTATATACCTCCTACGAGTGTTAATTTGACACTCGACTATGTTAATTATTTACTCTTTTGCTGTGTGCAGGGGKGTAAAACAGACACTAAGAAGTGTCATTACATAGCAAATGTGCAAGTGTTGTATAAGACTTAACAGTGGGCTGAGCTTATTTTAACACTGTCCAGTGTTGAGACAACACTGAGGAAATCAACACTGAGAATTAACACCAACACTGGATGTCAGTTTACTCAGAACGTGGTAAAATAACACTAAGCGGTGTTAAATTGACTCTGGAAAGTTTAACACTGAAATTTTAACACTCTGGTTTTTACTGTGGATAGAAACTGTTTCTGGACATTTGACATTAAATTTAGTAGAGTTAGAAAATAACTTAAATGTGAGACATGAGCAATATATGTTTTATTATGAGGTAAACTATGGATGCACAATATATCGGCATTAAAGAGGACCTATTATGGTTCTTAGAACAACTTAGGATACATCTGTGCTCTACACAAAACGTGATCATTATATTTAATACACAAAATCATTTTCAGATATTTCACCTGGTCAGTTCTGCCTGTTCTGAGCTCCCTTCAGAATGAGCTGTTTATGCTAATTAGTTGTTGTTGGCAGCACCCTGGCAACATTTTATTTACATTAGCTTCGCCCTCCCAACACAGCGTTTATGTTAGCACTTCAGATTATGTGAAATTTTCTAGTACAAGTAGATGCACAACGGTACAACAGTAGTAGACGGGCAGTGCAGCCACCCCCGTCGATGGCTTGGTAAGGACAGAGTAGAGYGTCCTATCGAAGTCAGATGCCTTGGCGCTGGGGAGGCGTTTTCTTTTGTTTTCTTTTTAGATGAATCTCACCAGCAGTGTAACATGAGTAGTCAACTTTCTGTTTGAGCTGCTTCACATTTACACTTTTCCTCTGCAGTTGTTTGTGCTATAGCAAACTGTGATTTTCTTGCTTTAAGTTTATTTTTCCATCACTTTAAAAATGTTTTACTTTGTCATGTATGTTGACTTTCTAGTAAAGTAAGTAAAGTTTTATTTATATAGCACCTTTCACAGAAATAAATTCACAAGGTGCTGTACATTCAGGGAAGGGGGAGGGGGCAGTTAAGAAACACCCATTCAAGAAGACATACAAGACAAACATGGGGGAACGGGTGAAACCGGTCATGGAGCAAACACAGTTGCGCTACCTTTAACAACAGCTTGAAATACACAAAAGGAAAATTGAGTTAAACAACCCGCGAWAGAGCAAGATAGCCCGGGGGGTGTCAGATAGCACATGAAGGGGAGGTAAAAAAATCTTCTCTTCTGCTGGAATCCATATTCCCCTATTATGTTGCATATTCAGTAGTGCAATGATGGACCATGTATGAAGAGAGCAGCTTCTATGGGTGGGACACAGTCACTGGCTGTTCGCTCCCCMCACATCTCTTCTAAAACAGGCCCCCATCAAGGGGCCAGCTCTTCTGCTGGAGTGGATTCTGGGGATGGTGGACCACCCTCTGTGCCAGACACGAGCATTTTTTAACGCCTAAAATAAATATGGAGACAAAATATGTGAGCAGCAGCTTCTAATTCATTAGTAAGAGTCATTTGTATGCTGTTGTCAACATTTTCTCCAGATACTTACCAGTCYGCAAAATATTCTTATATTTTATCTTGACCTGCTTTCAAGTCCTCTTTGGTCCAGTCATGTTTGTACTGTAAAATATTGATAAGATGTGTAACAAAAAAGAATAACATGATTCATTTGTTACATAGACTTCCACTGTTCATTTTTAAGTTTAAAGATGTTCAGTTGAGCAAATGACAAGTAAATCCTTGAAAGATATAATTGTAATGTTTTCTGTTAAGAGTAGTTATTAGAAAATGTTTATTTTAGGCATTCAGGTGATCCACTTTTGTTTGGCGAGCCCTTTGTCACTCATTGCCTCTGCCTGTCTGTCTGCGGTTCTGTCTGTGGACAACATTACTGAAAAACTTGTACAGATTGTCATGACATTTTTACCACATGTGGGTACTGGGCCAAGGAACACACCTTTAAATTTTGGTGATGTTCCGGATCACGATGCGGATACAGGATTTTTTTCTTTTAACACTCTGAGATCGGCAAAGCTGTGATACTTTCACAGGGCTTCTGTAAAACACATTGAGCTGGATTGGGCAGCACGGACTTCAAACTTTATAAAAGTAATGTAAAAACCAGATTTAAGCGCATTTACAAAACATTTTGTGACCAGGAAGTGCGTGACTGCACCATGAAACCTATTTTTCCCATTTCCTCAAACACACCACTTTTCTGAAACAACCAATCAAAATAGTTTGTCTCTACTAGGCTTGTAAACAGMGAGCTGCCGGGCCTCAAAGTTTGGAGACGGGGGGAGCCAGGAAGCACTTTATAAAGAGAGTCAAACCATTACAAACTCATACAAGGAGATCAAACAATGTTTTACATGGTGAAATGTGACTGATGAAAACTTAGGAACTTAATCCCACACCAGTTTGATGATGAATAAYGTCGGGTGACGAGTCTGACTTTTTTTTCCACATTGGACTCCACTGAGGAGAAATCCCRTGCATACTGCTGCTTAAATGTTGACTAYRTCAGAACTTATTCAGTAAATGTGTTTCCATCTCTGCTTTTGCGCATTAACTCTTACAGGATGGGGTAAATTGGTCTTGGCGGAGGTTTGCACTCTCCRAGTGCTTCTAGTTTATWATAGCAACAGTGTTTCCTTTCTATATGTGCTTCATTTCCTCATAAACCTGCATCAAAAGATGTTGCTCTTTTAAAGAGAAGTATGGAGCATGTCGTTTATCCATTGTAGAATCAGTGAATCTGTGATCGACCTCATGGTCTTTTGAAGAAACCTGTGGATGAGCATTTAGATTAGATTAGATTAGATTAGATTATTGTATTGTACAGAGCACAATGAAATTACAGTTCAGAACACCCATTCAGAAGAAGACAGAACATAACAAACATAGGAGAACAGGTGCCCTGGGTCATGCAGCCACAGACCCTGCACAAAGCAAGGATCGTCTTCATGAAGACATCATGAGGAGGCRCAACCCTTAAAAGAAAAACTAAAAACCACACAAGAGAAAATGAGGGAAAAAAACATCTATGATGTTTATAAAAACTCTGCATAGAGCACATTTATTAGCCAGAGGTGTAAGTGAGTTTAGGGGGGTGTGTATCTGAAGCCATGATTGTTGTGTGCACTTGTGTGAATATCTGAAGAATGAGCCCGAAGAATCGAGTCCCCAAAACCATAGTCCAGAACATGGATGTTAAGTGTTCATTCTGTGCGGCCCTCAGCTTGCTCCAGGAACCAGAACACAGACAGGTGGTGTGTGTGTGTGTGTGTGT